AGGCTGGATTGTGTGAGGAGCTCACAAAGTCCCTGAAAGATCTGGACAAAGTCCCATCGGTGATTTTTTTTACGGCAGGCAAGGCTGCGTTGGCTGGGCCATGTAGCCCACATGCCCAGCCACCGCATGCCGAAACATCTTTTGTTCGGCCGGATCGAGAGGGCTAAACGGGCGCGGCACGGGCTAGAGAGAGATGGAGTGATGTGGTACAGGAGGATGTGGAGCTGAGTGGACTTGCCGATGACTGGTACCAGCGGTGTCCAGATCGGCCTCTGTGGAGGAGGCTCGTGAAGGACGCTACTGGGCAGTTGGAGGCAGTCGCCCTCCAACAACAACGGAGGGCGGAGGAGCGACGCTCACAACAACGAGCGGAGCGCCGGGTGGCTAAAGCATAGCAAGTTAGTACAGTAGGGGGCACAGGTGGTGCATCAGCCAGTCATCTCGATCATCGCAGTCAGTCGACCCGTGGCACCTGGGTCTGTCCCGTGACCTCCTGCCAGCGGGCGTTCGACACTTCACGTGGCCTCAAGGTGCACCTAGCCTGGCACAAGCGTCGTGGTGACGTCACCGCCACTTAGTGGCGAATGGCGGTTGTTGTTGAGTGAGTGTGTGAGTGAGTGTGCGAGTGACTGTGTGTGAGTGCGTGTGATTAAGTGATTGTATGTGGGGAATGGTGGTGTAGCGGTAAGCGATGCGCTGGGCTACGAACCCGGCGATCCGAGTTCGATTCTCGCTCAGGGCCACCAATACCAGTGATGATTATCTGAAACCGGTCCTGGGCCTCCCCTAGGTCGACTCGGCCTCAAATGAGTACCTAGTTGCGGTGTGTAAACATCGCCACTGGGGAGACAAAGGCGGTCGGGCGTGGTGCTGGCCACCCACCCCCTTGTGTTCCGTGCCGGCCTTCATCAAAAGCTCGCTAACACCACTTACCCCAACAGTCTGTTAAGGCTATGCGGGGGATCTTTGGCTTTGTGTGCGGTGGTGTAGCGGTCAGCGCTACGCTGAGTTACGAACCCGGCGACCCGAGATCGATTCCCGCTCACGGCCAACACCCAGTGACGATTCTCTGAACCGGTCCTGGGCATTCCCTAGGTGGACTCAGCCTCAGACGAGTACCTGGTGCCATCATTCATGAGGTGCTACTCGCTCATAGCACTTGCTCCAACAGTCTGTTCGGGCCATACGGGTGGAATCTTTTTAGTTTTTAAATACGACTTCAAAACGTGTGAGCAGGTAATGCGATTGTACGCTGTCGTGATTGTGAACGGCAGTGCGAGCGTGCGAGGGGATGTGAGTGAGTGAGTTCCTGGCGCGTGATTCATACGTTCGAGTGCGTGAGCGTGTGATCACACCGGTTCGTGACCCATTGATAATAATGCATGATGAGGCTCAAATCCGGGTGAAAGTGTCCCGGCATTTCAAGGATGTGTGAGCGCATCTCGCTCGCGAACCACCCTGGATCGTAGGCAGGGCCAGGCTGAATGTTTCGAGCCGTAGAGAAGGCAGGGCTCGACGATGGCCGAGAAGATTCGCGGCTTCGTGTGGAGCGAAAGTCGATGCAGCTTCCACGCAAGCCGATTTAAAGATAACGCCGCTGGACCAATTTTTTCCGAGTGCCGTTAAAACCCGAGCAGGTCGTAAGCGCACTTCCCACCACTCCCCCCGCAACCTCCTCGTTGCTTATGGGGAGTGGCGGAGGGCCCAGTGGTTGACGACACAAAGTACAGAGGCACGTGCTCTATTTTTATCGGTGAGGCTGACACGCGGCAGTCTCCAATTCCTACAAAAGCCATCAGCGTACGTCAGTGGTTGCATTGGTGAGGAGTCATCCCTTGACCGCACCCGGTTATTGATCAGCCTCCCGCTGTATCTGTACCAGATGGGAGTTTTCGCTGACACAGTCAAAGGGAGCTTTTCAAACTACGACGTCAACGCATATTTTCAATATTTGAAGAGGCCAGGGGACATCCCTGTCGCAACCCAAGGCTCGAATAGAAAATGTCTCCGACTGGCGGTCGAGCAGCTTTCACCCGGGCCTGCCCACCATCACGAAGGTCCTTCGTGATCGTGAGCAGAGGGTCAGGGCCTCCAAAAGCACGAAGGACAACCCAGAGTCCTGGCCTCATGATAGCATCACAGGCCTTCACCATGTCAATAAAGCAGAGCCGTGGCTTAGAGAGAGAAATAGAGAGAGCTGGGTGCTCCAAGCGGCACCATTCCCCATTGCTGTAAAAGTAAACTAAATTTAAAGCATGAAACGGAACAAGCGCGGGGATTATTCCTGGTGGCACCTCCGACGAGCAAGGGTTCGGCCTCTTGCAACGTCGTCCATGAAAGGAAATTGCAAGTGCATCCTACAGACGACAGAGACGCTGATGTTCGGTGGTCGGATCGGCTCCTCGTTGCGCGGACACGAGGCCCGCAAACCACCGATTCGGCGCCACGATGAGCTCAGCAGCTCCCAACGCGTCGCGTAGACCGAAGCGTGGGGGCGGGGGGGGGGTCCCCTTGAAGCGGCTGATGGAGCGGGTCGTGTTGGGCGGTTGCATGCCCACAAATCTCTGCAGCCTCCTCCTCTTTCTCCTTCTCCTCCCCCTCTTTCTCCTTCTTCTCCTTTTCCTCCTCCTTCTCCTCCTTCTCCTCCTCCTCCTTCTCCTCCTCCTCCTCCTCCTCCTTCTCCTCCTCCTTCTCCTCCTCCTTCTCCTCCTCCTCCTTCTTCTCCTCCTTCTCCTCCTTCTCCTCCTTCTTCTCCTCCTTCTCCTCCTCCTTCTCCTCCTTCTCCTCCTCCTTCTCCTCCTTCTCCTCCCGTGATTATTGAGCCGATCTGGCGGAGGCCATCCCACTCCACTTCACCGCGTGATCATCTAATCTCGATGGGACCCCTCTTTTTTTCAAAATATCCGAAATGATGAAAAATAAGAATATTAGGTGTCACCCTCGCTGGCAATAAAACAGGAATGCGTTAAGATCTTCAAACACCAAAACAGGCATCAAGTCTGCATTAAGCATACATACTTTGTGGCAAACCCATGCCCTGATGATATTACTCGTTGTCTTTGAAACTGATTGGTCTACACAAGAGACGGCCTTTTCCATGGCCTCGTCTCACTACCAGTGTTAGACCCGAGGACGCCTTACAAAAGGTATTTGGTGTTCGAACATCAGTTTTAATGACAGAAATGGTAAAAAAAACCTCTTCTTATTTTTCATGACGTTATCTGGAATGGCTTCTCACACACGCGCACGCACCAATACCATATCCACGCCCGGCCGCCTTTGTCTCCCTCGTGGCGATGTTTGCACATTGAAACAGGTAGTCATTTGATGCTGAGTCGACCTAGGGGAGGCCCAGGACCGGTTTAGATAATCGTCACTAGTGTTGGTGGGCGTGAGCGGGAATCGAACTCGGGTCGTCAGGTTCATAGCGCGGCGCGCTAACCGCTACATTACCGCTCCCCATAACACACAACAACAACCGCCATTCGCCACTAAGTGGCGGTGACGTCACCACGACGCTTGTGCCAGGCCAGGTGCACCTTGAGGCCACGTGAAGTGTCGAACGCCCGCTGGCAGGAGGTCACGGGGCAGACCCAAGTGCCACGGGTCGACTGACTAAGATGACTGAGATGACTGGCTGATGCACCACCTGTGCCCCCTACTCTGCCCCCTACACACACACCCACACATAGACACACACAGACACACACACACCCACACACAGACACACACTCTCACTCACACAGACACACACTCTCACTCAGACACACACACCCACACACAGACACACACTCTCACTTACACAGACACACATACCCACACACAAACACACACTCTCACTCACACAGACACACACACACACACCCACACATAGACACACACTCTCACTCACACGGACATTCATTCAATGAACGGAAAGAATGATGGGTGTTTCGGCTGACAGACCTTTTCGGTCGATATCGGGGTTTTTTTCCCCATGGGTATAAGTGCAACAAAACGATCAGGCGAACCGGCTTCCTCCTCTTGACGCTCATTGGCGAGCCGGAGCCAATTACATTATTGCCAAAGCGGCCTCACAATGGGTATTGTACCTGGTGCGATGTGTTAGCATCGTCACTGGGGAGACAAAGGCGGCCGGGCATGGTGGTTGCCAGCCACCCCTTCGTGTGCCGTGCCGGAATTCATAGGTGCTCGCTAACAGCACCTGCCCCTACAGTCTGCTACAGGCTACACGGGGGGGTCTTTGTCTTTGTGATGATGGGTAAGCGTGTAAGACTCAATTGTGGCACTTTCTTCACGATCATCCTCATCAATACTGTTACCATCAATAGCATAAGCGTCATCATGACTCCCATTAGTATAATTACAGGCATCATCATCACTTTCCCTGGGATCATCGTGGATTACATCGTTATTATCATCATCACTGGCATCACAATCACCACCGTCATTGTTTATATCAAGATCATCATCATCATTTACACGATTATTGTCGACATCATCGCTGTCTTCCATACCATCATTGTCATCAGCATCATCATCATCATCACTACCACCATCACTTCTGTTAAAATTATGACAATCATCGCTGATATTATTCGTCAAGCATCATCATCATCACTGCCAGCATGGTTATTGTTGTAATCAGCATCACTTCCGGCGAATTCATCACGATCATCGTATCTGTTGATGATAATCACCACCACCACCAGCACCATCATCATCAGCAGCACCGCCGCTGCGCTCGTGAATCCTCACGGCCCTGCTCGCGTCAAATCAGTCCCCTGACGCCTGGGGCAGCACCACGTGGACACGTGTCAGTGAGTGACCACACGGAATCACCTGCCGGGTTACCTCACCTGTCAGAGCCACCCCCCCCGCTTCACCCCAACCCCCAGACCCCACCCCTCCCCTCCAGTCCCTCCACTCCTCACCACCTCCCCAGCAAAGATTAAGGAAGAAGGGGGCGAGAAGGGGGGGGGGGGGGTGACGGGACTCACCCGGTGGTGTCAGCTCACCAGTGCCACCTCTTCCTCCCAGCGCTCTCTCCAAACCTCCTCCTCCTCCTCCTCGCGTCTCCTCTTCCAGCCGCTGTTGGCCGCGTCCGACCACGCGTGTCCTCACGCCTTGTCCTCACGCCTTGTCCCCACGCGTGTCTCACGCCTTGTCCCCACGCGCGTCTCACGAGTGTCTCACGAGTGTCTCACGCCTTGTCCCCACGCCTTGTCCCCACGAGTGTCTCACGCCTTGTCCCCACGCCTTGTTCTCACGCGTGTCTCACGCCTTGTCCCCACGCCTTGTCCCCACGCCTTGTCCCCACGCGTGTCTCACGCCTTGTCCCCACGCCTTGTTCTCACGGCGTGTCCCACTTGCGTCCTCCCGCGAGTCGCAGAGAATTGAGCTGAAGCTGTGGCGCAGGGAGGCTGCAGAAACTCCCCCACCACCACCACCACCCCCCTCCCCCCTCCCAAGGCCGTCAGATCCCCTGGGCAGCGGGGGCAGTCGTCGTCTCGAGGGGTCGCGACCCCGGCTGCTGTCTCCTGGCCGAGCCGATCATCCCACGTGGCGCTCTCGGGGCTCGGTGACAGTCGCACCCTAGCGCGCTCACGCACTCACCACCACGTGTGTGTGTGGTACATGGCACGCGTGTCTACTGTGTGTATATATAGGCGCGCGCGTGTGTGTGTAAGAGTGTCTGTGTGTGTGTGTGCGTGCTCGCTCGCTCGCTAAGAACACTTGCCCCAACAGCCTGTTGAGGCTATAGGGAGGGATCTTTGTCTGTGTGTGTGTACGTGCGAATGATTGTGTATTTGTAAATGTGTATTTGTAAGTATGTGTGGCTATAGGTGTGTGCGTGATAGCATATACACCTGCGTATACACCTGTGTGTGTATATGTGTACACGTGTGTGTATGTATATACACCTGTGTGTACACGTGTGTGTATGTATATACACCTGTGTGTGTACACGTGTGTGTGTGTGTGCATATACACCTGTGTGTGTACACGTGTGTATGTATATACACCTGTATGTGTGTACACGTGTGTGTGGGTGTGTATATACACTTGTGTGTGTGTGTACACCTGTGTGTGTATGTATAAACACGTGTGTGTGTGTGTGTGTACACGTGTGTGTGTGTATGTATAAACACGTGTGTATGTATAAACACGTGTGTGTGTGTACACGTGTGTATATATATACACGTGTGTGTATGTATATACACCTGTGTGTGTACACTTGTGTGTGTGTGTACACGTGTGTGTATATACACCTGTGTGTGTGTACACGTGTGTGTGTGTGTATGTGCACGTGTGTGTATATACACCTGTGTGTGTGTACACTTGTGTGTGTGTGTACACGTGTGTGTATATACACCTGTGTGTGTGTACACTTGTGTGTGTGTGTACACGTGTGTGTATATACACCTGTGTGTGTGTGTACACGTGTGTGTATATACACCTGTGTGTGTGTACACTTGTGTGTGTGTACACGTGTGCGTATATACACCTGTGTGTGTGTGTGTGTACCCGTGTGTCTCTGTATGGGGGGGGTGGACACGCGAGCGCCCAGCCTCTGCCTCTGCGCCTCCCGCACTCCGCTGGCGGAGTGCTCGGAGCGAGCGAGGGCGCGCGCGCGCGCGCGTGCGCGCACACGGAGCGCGCCTTGACGGTAGCGCGCACTCCGCCAGGGCTTTACGGTAAAGGGGCTCGGAACAAAAAGATAATGCTGTGCAACTGCTCGAACGCCATCCCCACTTCGCTGTCCACCACCACCACCACCACGCACACAGAGGCAAAGATCCCCCGTAAAGCCCTTGGACAGACCGTGAGGACAAGTGTTGTTAGCGAGTAACGGCACCTATGAAGGCCGGCACGGAACACACAGACACACACATAAGGCGATGGGTGGTCAAGACCACGCCCGGCCGCCTTTGTATCCCCAAAGCGGCGATATTTACACACCGCACCAGGTACTCATTTTAAGCCGAGTCGACCTAGGGGAGGCCCGCACACCGCTTCTCCCCCACCCTCCATCAATTGTCTCTGTCTCACTCGATTATGTGTGCACTTTGAACTTCTTTCGTGCCGTACGTAGCCAAGCGTGCTAATCCGAGGTGCTGCTGATGATGCTACTGCTGACGATGCAGCAGTAGCATCATCAGCAGCCATGGTCTATTCACTGCTGAATGAATACCTTCCATCGCAACCACCCCCACCTCCGTCTCTCGCGATTTCTCTGCGACGATTGGCGTCGGAATTGCCGCTCGCTCTCTCTCTCTCTCGAATTACTACTCCCAAACTCATGGATTCATTTCGCACACGGGTTGACGTCTTCTGTAATCCCGAACGCGCTAATTTGATTCGAATCCAATCATCTCTGATTAGACCCCTCCCCTCTTTCTGATTAGACACCTCCCCTCTTTCTTTGATAAGACCCCTCCCCTCTCTCTGATTAGACCCCTCCCCTCTCTCTGATTAGACCCCTCCCCTATCTCTGATTGGACCCCTCCCCTCTCTCTGATTAGACCCCTCCCCTCTCTCGGATTAGACCCCTCCCTTCTCTCTGATTAGACCCCTCCCCTCTCTCTGATTAGACCCCTCCCTTCTCTCTCATTAGACCCCTCCCCTCTCTCTGATTAGACCCCTCCCCTCTCTCTGATTATACCCCTCCCCCTCTCTCTGATTAGACCCCTCCCCTCTCTCTGATTAGACCCCTCCCCTCTCTCTGATTAGACCCCTCCCCTCTATCTGATTAGACCCCTCCCCTCTCTCTGATTAGACCCCTCTGCCTCTCTCTGATTAGACCCCTCCACTCTCTCTGATTAGACCCCTCCCCTCTCTCTGATTAGACCCCTCCCCTCTCTCTGATTAGACCCCTTCCCTCTCTCTGATTAGACCCCTCCCCTCTCTCTGATTATACCCCTCCCCTCTCTCTGATTAGACCCCTCCCCTCTCTGTGATTAGACCCCTCCCCTCTCTCTGATTATACCCCTCCCCCTCTCTCTGATTAGACCCCTCCCCTCTCTTTGATTAGACCCCTCCCCCCTCTCTGATTAGACCCCTCCCCTCTCTCTGATTAGACCCCTCCCCTCTCTCTGATTATACCCCTCCCCCTCTCTCTGATTAGACCCCTCCCCTCTCTTTGATTAGACCCCTCCCCTCTCTCTGAATAGACCCCTCCCCTCTCTCTGATTAGACCCCTCCCCTCTCTCTGATTAGACCCCTCCCCTCTCTCTGATTAGACCCATCCCCCTCTCTCTGATCAGACCCCTCCCCTCTCTCTGATTAGACCCCCTCTCTTCTCTCTGATTAGACCCCTCCCCTCTCTCGGATTAGACCCCTCCCCTCTCTCTGATTAGACCCCTCCCCTCTCTCTGATTAGACCCCTCCTCTGTCTCTGATTAGACCCCTCCCCTATCTCTGAATAGACCCCTCCCCTCTCTCTGATTAGACCCCTCCCCTCTCTCTGATTATACCCCTCCCCTCTCTCTGATTAGACCCCTCCCCTTTCTCTGATTAGACCCCGACCCTCTCTCTGATTAGACCCCTCCCCTCTCTCTGATTAGACCCCTCCCCCTCTCTCTGATTAGACCCCTCCCCTCTCTCTGATTATACCCCTCCCCTCTCTCGGATTAGACCCCTCCCCTCTCTCTGATTAGACCCCTCCCCTCTCTCTGATTAGACCCCTCCTCTGTCTCTGATTAGACCCCTCCCCTATCTCTGAATAGACCCCTCCCCTCTCTCTGATTAGACCCCTCCCCTCTCTCTGATTATACCCCTCCCCTCTCTCTGATTAGACCCCTCCCCTTTCTCTGATTAGACCCCTACCCTCTCTCTGATTAGACCCCTCCCCTCTCTCTGATTAGACCCCTCCCCCTCTCTCTGATTAGACCCCTCCCCTCTCTCTGATTATACCCCTCCCCTCTCTCTGATTAGACCCCTCCCCTCTCTCTGATTAGACCCCTCTCTCTGATTATACCCCTCCCCCTCTCTCTGATTAGACCCCTCTCTTTGATTAGACCCCTCCCTTCTCTCTGATTAGACCCCTCCCCTCTCTCTGATTAGACCCCGCCCCTCTCTCTGATTAGATCCCTCCCCTCTCTCTGATTAGACCCATCCCCCTCTCTCTGATTAGACCCCTCCCCTCTCTCTGATTAGACCCCCTCCATTCTCTCTGATTAGACCCCTCCCCTCTCTCGGATTAGACCCCTCCCCTCTCTCTGATTAGACCCCTCCCCTCTCTCTGATTAGACCCCTCCTCTCTCTCTGATTAGACCCCTCCCCTCTCTCTGAATAGACCCCTCCCCTCTCTCTGATTAGACCCCTCCCCTCTCTCTGATTAGACCCACTCCCCTCTCTCTGATCAGACCCCTCACCTATCTCTGATTAGACCCCTCCCCTCTCTCTGATTAGACCCCTCCCCTCTCTCTGACTAGACCCCTCCCCTCTCTCAGATTAGACCCTTCCCCTCTCTCTGATTAGACCCCCTCCCCTCTCTCTGATCAGACCCCTCCCCTCTCTCTGATTAGACCCCCGCCTTCTCTCTGATTAGACCCCTCCCCTCTATCTGATTAGACCCCTCCCCTCTCTCTGATTAAACCCCTCCCCTCTCTCTGATTAAACCCCTCCCCTCTCTCTGATTAGACCCCCTCCCCTCTCTCTGATGAGACCCCTCCCCTCTCTCTGATTATACCCCTCCCCTCTCTTTCTGATTAGACCCCTCCCCTCTCTCTGATTAGACCCCTCCCCTCTCTCTGATTAGACCCCTCCCCTCTCTCTGATTAGACCCCTCCCCTCTCTCTGATTAGACCCCTCCCCTCTCTCTAATTAGACCCCTCCCCTCTCTCTCTGACTAGACCCCTCCCCTCTCTCTGACTACACCCCTCCCCTCTCTCTGATTAGACCCCTCCCCTCTCTCTGATTAGACCCCCCCCCCCTCTCTGATTAGACCCCTCCCCTCTCTCTGATTAGACCCCTCCCCTCTCTCTGATTAGACCCCTCCCCTCTCTCTGATTAGACCCCCCCTCTCTCTGATTAGACCCAGCCCTTCTCCCTGATTAGACCCCTCCCCTCGCTCTAATCAGACCCCTCCCCTCTCTCTGATTAGACCCCTCCCCTCTTTCTGATTAGACCCCTCCCCTCTCTCTGATTAGACCCCCTCCCCCCTCTCTGATAGACCCCTCCCCTCTCTATGATTATACCCACTACCCTCTCTCTGATTAGACCCCCTCCTTTCTCTGATTAGACCCCTCCCCTCTCTCTGATGAGACCCCCTCCCCTCTCTCTGATTAGACCCCCCCCCCTCTCTCTGATTAGACCCCTCCCCTCTCTCTCTGATTAGACCCCTCCCCTCTCTCTGATTAGACCCCTCCCATCTCTCTGATTAGACCCCCCCTCTCTCCCTGATTAGACCCCTCCCCTCTCTCTGATTAGACCCCCCCCTCTCTCCCTGATTAGACCCCTCCCCTCTCTCTGATCAGACCCCTCCCCTCTCTCTGATTAGACCCCTCCGCTCTCTCTGATTAGACCCCTCCCCTCTCTCTGATTAGACCCCTCCCCTCTCTCTGATTAGACCCCTCCCCTCTCTCTGATTAGACCCCTCCCCTCTCTCTGATTAGACCCCTCCCCTCTCTCTAATTAGACCCCTCCCCTCTCTCTCTGACTAGACCCCTCCCCTCTCTCTGACTACACCCCTCCCCTCTCTCTGAATAGACCCCTCCCCTCTCTCTGATTAGACCCCTCCCCTCTCTCTGATTAGACCCCCCCTCTCTCTGATTAGACCCAGCCCTTCTCCCTGATTAGACCCCTCCCCTCTCTCTAATCAGACCCCTCCCCTCTCTCTGATTAGACCTCTCCCCTCTTTCTGATTAGACCCCTCCCCTCTCTTTGATTAGACCCCCTCCCCCCTCTCTGATAGACCCCTCCCCTCTCTATGATTATACCCACTACCCTCACTCTGATTAGACCCCCTCCTTTCTCTGATTAGACCCATCC